TCTTTGAAGCTAGACATGGTGATGCTTACCTGTAGTACCAACTACTTGGGAGGCTGAGGCAGGAGGATCGCTTGAGTCCAGGAGTTCAAGGCTATAGTGAGCTATGATCGTGCCTGAATGACAAAGCAAGACCCCATCTCTTAAAACAAAAACAAACAAACAAAAGTCTTTGAAAAGGTGAAAATTTTTATTTTATTAAATCTAAACTTGAATATACATATTTTAAATATTTTGTGTAACAAAATAGGAAGTAGATATAAATACTTCTGCTGCTTACTAAAGTAAGATGGTCCGTGGGAGAAAAAGCTCTTAGGTGTTTGGCTTGGCTTGCAGCCTAAACTTGCCGCTTTTTCCATGATGTGACATTTGCTTGAAAAATGTTCTTGATTGCCTGTCTTTCAAAGTCATCTCCCCAACCCCTGCCCCAAGGAACCAACAAGGAAAAATTAAGGAGCATAAGAAAAATATAGACGGAGTATGGTATCTCATGCCCATAGCCCCAGCTCCTCCAGAGGCTGAGATGGAAGGATCGCTTGAAGCCAGGAGTTTGAGACCAGCCTGGGCAATGTAGCGAGACCCCATCTCTACAAAAAATTAAAAAAATAGCCAATCATGGAGGCATAGGCCTGTAGTTCCAGCTACTTGGGAAGCTGAGGCAGGAGGATCACTTGAGCCCAAGAGGTCAAGGTTATCGTGACCTCTGACTTGTCATTACACTCCAGGCTCAGTGACAGAGTAAGACCCTGTCTCAAAAAAAAAGTGCAATGAAGAGGTTTTCTAACTGAGGCATGTTGTAGAGAGAGCACAGGCCATCAGCCTAGACTTAACCCAATCTTGGCGTGGGGACACTGCTAATGGCAGTCACTGCTGCCCAAGAACCACCCAGGCACAGCTGGGCCCACTCTGGTTATCCCACCTCCTTCCCAGGAGAGTTTGAGGGTTGGCCTGGGAGAAGCAGCTCGGCAAGTGCCTCTCTAGAGAAAGGCAGAGAGGGTGTTTCAGCTTTCAAAGGTACAGGGAAAAGGATCTCACAACCAAACCTGGTGGGTGAAGCAAAGATCCCAGGCACAGCTCTCAACAGTTACCAAAGTAATAACATGTAGAGCACCTAGAAAAGAGAGAATTAAAATCACAAGGCATGACCACATGGTTTGGATACTTGACAGATATTTTCCCAAAAAGTGAATGAAATGAAACTCAAGAAAACTATTTGACAGTGTTAGTTGCCAACAAAAAAAAAATCCAGACTTCCAAGTGAAAATTAGAATTTTGGAAAACTTTCATGCTCCACCGTGAACTTGATAGTCCTAACAGAGCCACTGCTCTGTATCTGTGGCCTCAACCAACTGCATATCAAAAATATCTGAAAAATAGAAGGATAGTTTCGTCTATACTGAACATATACAGACTTTCTTCCTGCCATTATTTCCTTAACAATACAGTGTGACAACTCTTGACTTAGCATTTACATTATATTAAGTATTATAAGTAATCCAGAGATGATTTAAAACAAGAGGATGTGTGTAGGTAATGGGCAAATACTGTGCCATTTTGTACAAGGGACTTGAGCATCCGTGGGTTTTGGTTGTCCCGGAACCAACCCCACACAGATGCCGTGGGACAACTGTACTTAGCAATTTCTCGGATAAGATCAGTGGTGATATCAACAAATGTGATTTCTAAATATTATACTGAAATGGATCAAAATTTGGAAAACCTATATAACTCGGTAAAGCAGTATTTTTTTTAGCTGCAGAATCACATATGGATAAAGGTGCATTCAAAGTGCAGGTGGGCCTGAAAGAATAAAAGTTCCAGATTCCACATTACAACTGACCTTTAAGAAACTACCACTTGTTGACTTTTAGTATGGGATCAAAGTAGAACATCGATAACTCTCTGAAAGTCTATTTAAATACTCTTCCCTTCTCCAGTTACATATCTCTGTGAAGATGGATTTTTCTTCATTTATTTCATCCAGGATATATCACACAACATATTGAAAGCAGAAGTAGATATGAGATTTTAGCTGTCTTTCATTAAGACAGAATTTAAAAGATTTTCAAAAACATAAAACATTGTCACTCTTCTGACTAAATTTTTGTCATGAAAAAATCTTTTTAAAAATAAAAATGTTACTTATGTAAACATATTAGTGTGCTTTTAAATAGAATTAATATTTTGAAAAGTTCTGTTTTAATTTTTGTTTGTTTGTTTTTTTGAGTTTGAGTCTCACTCCATTGCCCAGGCTGGAGTGCAGTAGCACACTCACGGCCATCCCAGTGTCTACCTGCTGGACTCCGGTGATCCTTCCGCCTCAGCCTTCCAAGTAGCTGGAACTACAGGCACATGCTGCCACACCCAGCTAATTTTTTATTTATTGTAGAGACAGGTCTCGCCAAGTTGACCAGGCTGGTCTCGAACCCACAGGCTCAGGCAATCCACTCGCCTTGGCCTCCCAAAGCACTGGGATTATAGGCTGAGCCACCAAGCCCGGTCATGTTTTAATTTCTAATATCAAGGATCAATAGAAATAGCCCACAAAGCTGTTTGGGTTTCTTAATTTAGATTGTTAAAGGGATTCAAAAACCAAAAAGTTTGAGAACATTCAGTTTGGACAGTACATACCTATATCATTTGTTCATGCATTAAGACATACATGTATGTATATGAAATATATATATATTTCATATACATATATATATATTTTGTTTTGTTTTGTTTTGTTTTGTTTGTTTTTTGTTTTTGAGTTGGAGTCTCACTCTGTCACCCAGACTGGAGTGCAGTGGCCGCTCCCGGCCACCGCAGCCTCGACCTGCTGGGCTCCGGCGATCTTTCCGCCTCAGCCTTCCAAGTAGCTGGAACTACAGGCACGCGCTACCATGCCTGGTTATGAAGTATATTTTAAAACATATTAGAAAATAGGAATATGAAGAAGATGAAAAACAACATTCCAGTGGCTCTAACATTTTTTCATACTCCCAGGGCCAGACCGCTAAGCAACAATGCCCCTAAGCCTAAAATGCGAATTCACTGGAAAACCAGGGGTTCAAGGACTTAAAGGGGACACATGGTCAAAGTGCTGCTGACAAAGCTAAGTTGCTAGTGGGGTGTTCTGTGGCATGATGACATGGGCAGTGTCCAGGGTGTGACACTGGGGTGACCCTGGGAATGACACTGCAGCAACTCCCAGGGCGGGTGCCCTTTGGCTCGCCTGCTTTGGGAGAAAATGCCTGTGAAACTAACACCAGCTTGGAAGCAATGAGTATGCCCGGCTTGAAGGCATTGAAAGACTGATTTCAGAACCCTGTTGGATGGGCGTGCACACAGGGGCTGGGCGTTGAAGCGCTTTTCTAGTCCCTTGGCCCTACAAAGGGATTCTTTCAAGAACCTAGTCTGTTTGCCTGCCCGGGGCCCCTTGGACGCCAGCCTGTCTCTGTGCATGCACTGCAGCCCTAAATGGACAGCCCTATATGGACAGTCAAGCCAGTCTGAGGATGACTTGGAGTTGGATCCATTTCCGCCACGAGGCAGGTCATGTCCTTGACCTGTCAGTGGCCTTCTGCTTCTGTTCAGGGGAGAAATGCTGGAGCCTCCATCTCCTGGGTTGTCTCCACAACCGGAGAGGCAATCACGCCTGTAGCCTTGGGGTGAGCCCACCTTCACAAGGTGATTGCTTTCCCATGGGGATCCCTTGTCTTTTGATGGAAATGGTCTTACTGCACATATGCTAAGACACTCCCCCCTTCAGAGGAGAGGCTAGCCTTGCAGGCTTCAGAGTCGTTCTGTCCTTTTAAAATGACCACACCTCTCTACGGCATTGTCTTGATTTTTCAAAGTTCAAGTCTGAAGGCAGCTGTCTTCTCACAGTTGGGGTCAGGGAACCTCACTATGACCCTGCCTGCACTGGAAGTGTTAGCTCCCGTGTCTCCCTTTCCTCTCGTGCTGCCTAAGTCAGATCTTGCTTTCCTTTCCCTAGTAAAACCCTTCCTCAATGCCAGCCATGGTGTCTCCTTTTAATCGTGCAGTTAATCCTAATATGTTGTGATAGACCTAAGAGCAGCCATCAGACAGGGGAGGACAAACACTGGGGCACAAAGAAAATTAAGATAAATTGCTCAGATTTACACCAGGAGCCAGTGGGTGCCAGAGCCACCTCCCTCCTCCCCTCACTGGTGCTGGTTGCCCTTGGGCAGATTCTCCATCCACCAGAGCCTCCATTTTCTTTCTGGCAATATGGACACAACATAACGACCACTCATTGACTTTTCGTATGATACCAAAGCAGAACATTCACAACTCTCTTGAAGTCTATTCAAATTCCCTTCCCTTCTCCGATTACATATCTCTGTGAAGATGGTTTTTTCTTCATCTGTTTCAACCAAGACATATCACACAACATATTGAAAGCAGAAGTAGCTATGAGATTTTAGCTGTCTTTTATTAGGACAGACATTCAAAAGATTTCCAAAAGCATAAAACAATGTCACTCTTCTGACTAAATTTTTGTTATGAAAAACATATCTTTTTAAAATAAAAACATTATTTATGCAAACATTTAAATGGACTTTTAAATAGAATTAGTAGTGAAGACTGTTTGAATTAACCCAGACACCATTAGTGCTCAGAAGTGCCCCTCGTTCCCACACCCAGTCCTGCCTGTCCCCCACCTCTGCCCTCCTCCGAGCTCTTGGCTTCAGACTTTCAGTTCCTGTGCTTGAGTAAATCTAGAATGAGCACATATTAAATAGTCTAACATTCCGGCCTGAATTTGACAGAAAGCATGTGCAGCTCCCTGGCCGCGATGAGAGTGCTGTCTTCCACTCACCCACACACACACACCATGAAAGGAACCGCCTCCTGTCTGCTGTGCGTGCTGTCTGGGAGCTGGGGTCCCAGGGGTGGCCGACGTGAATGGGGAAATAGCATTGGACACACTGTGGTCCACATCAGGACATATTCTTCCCAATCGTTCTCATGTTTGTGTTTTCTCTTTTCAGGGATCCGCATCTGCTGGACCCAACTCTGGAATATGTGAAGGTAGGAAGCCAAAATTGGACCTGTGGTCATGACCCTGGGAAACAGACTCTGTATTTCTAACACAACGTTGCCAAATAATGCTGCAGTCTGTCTTATGTAGAAAGCTGGTTAGATTAGCTGAAACATCAGGAAGAAATTTGACTCTCTTAGGTCTTGGGTAAATTTTGTAGTGGTCTCACATTATCCCATTGCAGGTCTACAATCTTTTTTCCCTTATCTAGCCCTTGGAGCCAGATATGCTTTTTGTTCTTTGGGGGAGCTTTTTGTGTGTCTTTTTTAGAAAAGTAATAATACCCCAAGAGGTCTGGGTCAGCACTCCAAAATCAAACTCACTATTTCCACAGAATCATGTAAGCATTGTCACAACAAGTGGGATTTTATGTAATTCGGGGCACATTTTGCCCTCAAATAAGATTGAGCGAGTTTTAATGCCAGGTGAGTTATTTTTTAAATGCCATTTTCAGAGTTATTGGGATTTGGAATGGCAGATGAGGAGGCGTGGGCCTGTGTTTCTCTTTAGTGGAGGCCTGAAGGCTCTGGAGGGTGTATGAGGGTCCTTTCCTTTGCAGCGCCACCCTCTTGTTCAGCGGCTGATCCGGGACCAAGTAGTGATGTTGCTTTCCAGTAGGGCTGGCAGTCATGTCTTCTAAGCAGTCAGCCCTTGTCAACAGTGTTTCTCCTATGAGCAGAAAGGAAAGACTCTTTTCACGTCTCCCCTCTTCTTCCCCGTTTTCTGGGTTCTTGTAATTAAATCCGGCATCTCCTACAGAAGAGAGAAGTCTGACTGTCACACTAAGTTTCTTGGCTTTATGACACCATATATCATTATCTTCTAGGAGAAATGGTGGCATGAGTTGGTGTTTAAGGCGTATGTCTCCTTTGGAACCGTGTTTCGCCCTCCACATTCCAGGGACAGCACCCCAGTTTCACGGCATTTGGGCCTGTTGGGATCTTGTCTCTGTGCCTCTCCCTGGAGTTTTGGTATTTGCTCCTTCTGAGGGAGGCAGAGGACAAAGCTCCGTAGAACCTCTGGTCCTAGGACAGCTATGATGAAGCTATGATGCAGCCTCTCAGAGTCAAAGCAGATGTGACTTGTCCCCTTTCTTGTACCTGGATGATGTCTGAACTTGTTTTCACAGCAGCAAGCGTGAGCTCCTAAACCAGCAGGGCCGCCACTGCGGAACCTGCCAGAGCTTTACAGACAGCATGTCCACATCCCTCCTGGGTGCATCCAGGTGTTGGATGCAGGTCGTGCAGCACTGCAGAGCATTAGGAGATGCTGTTCACATAGACTGGCCTGACTGGGCTGGAACATTGAACACGTACCCTAGAATTATGCACGTGTAAGTCACGCAGCCCTTCAGAATCCCTCCATCCGTGTTTCAGACAGTGACTGCCTCCCTTCCCCCCGATCCCCCGCTGCTTACTGCAGGGGCTCTGTTCTTTCTTTTACAGGAGTCCAAACCCCTTTTAAGATAATCTGGCAGTGAATTATAAAGCTAAGCATAGAGAATTTTAGAATGGCCTATTTTCATATTATCTAAGCTATTGCATCTCATTCATGAATACCGATTGTGGTGAGCTGAGTTGTATTGACAAAGAAGGGTTACTGGGGTTGTCAGGAGGCTTCTGCCTGTGACTCCTCCCACCTTTCCCAGGCTGTGAGATGTGGTAGCACCACTCTCTGGAGGCTCGGAGGGTTCTCCTTTCAAGGACTTGTTGAGGTTTTCCAAAGGTTAACCTTTCTTCCTAACCTCATCTGAATCTGGTCAGAGCCCTGTAAGCAGTGTCTGTCCCTCCCGAATGCAGTTTTCTTTCATTCCCCCTTAGCCCCTGGTTTAGAGGGTTGGCTTGAGAACTTGGTGGGCCAACATAGGATATATTTGTTTGCCTCCAAGAGCACCAAAGCTCTGAAAGGACTGTCCATGAAGACCTCTGACCTCGAGGTCCAAGGGGACCACTGGTCAGTCCTGTTGGACCAGTGGGCCCTTGGTAGTCATTAATTGCCCAGACTGACCAGTGTCATGAAGGCCTCATACATTGGTGCCCACGGGTGCCTCTGGCTAGAGGGTGGCTGGAGACCAGTCGAGGGAGGTGAGAGCTATAGGCAGGGTGGGTTGCAGCCTGGCCCCCTTGGCTTTGAGTGGTTCCTTCTCTGCATCCCCTTGTGCACTCACTGCCTGTTGGACGTGGAGAAAAGCAGGAATTCGATGTGTGGTATGCTGTAGCATGAAGGGCCCTTCTGGTAGGGCCAGATTCACTAGCCTAAAATCGGGAGTCAGCATGCCAGTTTTTCAGAGATTCCTTGTGACCACAGAATAGGGCACATCCGATCCCTGCCTGAGTGTCATTTGGGCAGCGGGAGCGTCCAGTTGTGGCCAACAGACAGCAGCCCGAGTCTAGCAGGCGCTCCCATCCAGGTCCCCGCTCTGTGTCTTTAAATGCTGCCCCCTTCCCCGCCAGAGGCTTTGCAGCCCTCTTCCCCTGATCTTCCCAGTGCCCAGATGGAGAGGTCTGAAGCTGACCCCACGGCTGGTGGGTGATGGCACTTGAGCGTCATGGCAGGAGAGTCTGGCTGGAGGAAGAATCTACAACTCAGTTCGTGCGCTGTGTGTCCTCCCAGCACTCGGAACTGTTGTGTTGCGGCACATTAATGCTGGTGAAAGGGGCTTGGTTGCCTAGCAACAAGTAGCTCTTCCCCGTGGCACGGCTGGGAAGGCCCAGGGCTGCCTGGCAGCTCTTTCACCCTGTCCCGTGGGCTGGCCTCCTGCTGGGCCTCCCATAGCACCGAGACCCTCCAGGCTCAGTTTGATGTGTGGGTGTGATAGGAAAATAAATTGCAGGTCCAAAGTAGCCCAGAAATATGGGACTCATGCCTCACCCTGTCCGTCTCTTTAACTCTGGCTTTAGAGAGGAGAGTTTTGTGTTTTTCCATTTCTTCTTTCTCCTTGTTTTCCCTGCTCTCTTCTCACCGTTTTTTTTCCCACGGTATCTCAAAGCGTGATCACTTTGAAGGTCTGATTTTTAAAACTGCTTTGTGTAGGCTTGAGGTCCTTTTCTGTAATCTGATGTCACGGATTCTCCTCCCTGGACTGAAAGGAGCTGTTTCTGCCAGATGGGAAAGCAACAGCCTTCCCACCTTCCCCGCTGGTCACCCGTGGTTAGCTGGTTAGCGGCTAGCAATGGTGTGTGGCTCTGGAATTCTCCTCCGCATACCCAGCATTCCTTGACCTAGATAAAACCAACTTTTTTTTTTAACAGGAGGAAATAGCTTTTAGAGCCAGTGACCCTGGGCAGAAAGTGGAACTTTATCGTCCACACTCTGCCTGCTCACTGTCCCCACTGTGTGTGACCATGTCTTTACCCCCACTAAAACATATTTGCATACAGTTTCGTAGGCCCGTGTCAGGTAGTTGCTTAGAACATTTAGTAAAATCGGTCTGGGTGCAGTGACTCATGCCTGTGATCCCAGCTGAGGGAGGGAGGCCGAGGCAGGAGGATTGCTTGAGCCCAGGAGTTTGAGACCAGCCCTGGCACCATCGCGAGACCTCATCTCTACAAAAAAAAATTTTTTTTAATTAGTTGCAAGTGGCGGCTCACCCCTGTAGTCCCAGCCACTTGGGAGACTGAGGTGGGAGACTCTGCCAGCCAGGAAATGGAGGCTGTGGTGAGCCATGAACATGCCACGGCACTCCAGCCTGGGTGACAGAGTGAGACCCCCGATACAAAAAAAAAAAGAGAAAAAGAAAATTTGATAAAACAGTATTGCCACAGTGTTAACAAATGGGCATAGCTCAGCGTGGGTCCCACCCACATAGCATCCCAGCAGAGACGCCAAGTCACACATCCCCTGAGAATCCCCCAGGAAGGGGAGCTACCACCTCTATATGGGTTCCATCTTCCCCACAGCTAGAAAAGCTTGGAGTGGGCCAATGTTCCTTCTAGCTTGATGTGTTTGTGGTTCTCTGTGCCTGAAACAGGCTGGAGAGGAAAGATTTTAGCCAGTGGTAAGGAGTTCTTAGTCGTGCCACTCTTTATCAGAAAATGGCCACATTGATTGGAACAAGCGTAGCATTTCATGTTGTTTGTAGACATTAAGACCAAGGACCTGTCAGATAGTTGCGTGTCCTTCACGTCACCCCTGCAGGTACTTTGCAGTCCATTACGTGTGCCTTTTTCAAACCCCTTATCGTTCCCTTCAGAAGCTGCTCCCTACCCTGCCCTCAGTGTTATGAGTTTATCTGTTTCCTGCCTCCTCCCCCTTTGCACCTGTGTGTCTCCTTTTAGACTGAGGACTAGCTCTTGCTGGCCTCTTCACACACAAGCCATTTGGTTTTAGTGGCGTCTCTTCCTTGGGGGTGACTTCAAGTGTCTTTTTGCGGGGAGGAAGTGATGGGCAGAGCTGGATGATTTTCTTATAGAAAAAACGTGTGTTAGAGATTTTCCATCTTGAAATAAATTGTCCTTTAAAAAGGTAAATTGGAAAATAGAGCAAAGTGGGAATCGGGGCTGCCTGTTTTCTTCAGATGAGCTGAGAGCGGCTGTAGACAGCATGCCAGGCCTGCGGATAAAGGCCTGCTCTCCAGGTGGCCCAGCAAGGAAGTGTCACGGATGCAGCCTTTTGTTTCTGGCCGGGTTCCTTGTGAACCAATATCCTCTTTCTTTGTCGTCAGCCTTGGTGGGGCCTTGTTGGGGCCTTGTTAGACCCACTGTGAGCTTTAATAAACTGACTTGCAGTCTCTGAGCCGGCTGTGCAGGTTAGAAGAAGAAAGGACAAGCTTTCCCCCTGTGGGGCCCAGAGCCCTGCCATTCTCCCTGCAGAGCAGAGGGGCTGCCCAGCTCAGAAAACGTTCCTTCCTGAAGGCCGTTTGGCTCAGATCTCAGCGAGGTCATTTCCTGCAGTCGCCTGGGGGACACATCAGGTCACCGGGCAAGTCAAAAGCAGGGTAATGATGTGAGTTCTAGCACCCAGAAGAAGCGCCCTGGCTGTCGAGACCTCA